TGTGCTCTTGTCCACCATTACCTAACAACTATCTATAGGACTGGACTTAGGACAGTGGGTAGGGGCAGGGATATGTTACCTGTTGGAAAAGAACTCAGATATAACTCAATTTTACCTAAGTAGTATATGAAAGTGGAAGGTAAGATCTTTATATTTTGTCACACACACAGCACTATGCAATCCCATGGTATGGCAGGACCATAAAACAATTGCTTTCAGCTCTAACACTGGGTTTATATTACTGTTGCATGACTAAGAGGAGAAAAAAAAGAGAAAGATGAAATTTTCATTGCATGAAGCCAAATTCATCTGAGTTAATGAGAAGTTTATAGCTTACCGGTTCTCTAGCCAATTTTTTTTGCAGGGAGGGGGAGGGGTTAGCTCTGATAGTCTTGGCTTTCACCTCCTGCATCTTTTTTGACTCTCTCCTGCCACGTCTTGATGATTGTAGATGTTATTAGTCAGGAGGTAGTATCTACCATAGTAGGCTGCTGGGAAACCCTAACCCGTTTTAGCTGTGGTCTCACCTTTTCGTTGCCTCCTTTAATGACGCAAGGGATTTTGTGTGACACTGAAACCACACTGTCATAAGTAAGCAACTCCTTTTATTGTCCTTTGAGTGTTGTTACACTCTTGACCATTACCAAAAGGAAGTTGTTGTGTTTTTTTTTGGAGACGCTTTCAAAGTGTTCTTATCTTCATTGATGCCCTGTTCAGTCTGTCTACCTTTCAAAGCTGAACAGGGATTGACTTGAAATCTCCGGCTTTAACTTTCAGGTAAGTAAAAGAAATTTTTTTTGTTTTGTTTTGTCCACAGGCCCTCACTGGGGACAGTCAACAATTAAAAATCCAAAAATCAAAGGTAAGGTTTCCTTACGTTTTCGTCATACTCCTCTCTCTCTTCTCTCAGTCTTATTATTTTTTTTTCCAAGGGATACACTCCTGTCTCTGCTTCTTGCGGTTTCTCCACTTCCCCTCCTGGATGATCCTTCCCTTGCTAGGGATACATTTGCCGCTTTTCTTCGTCCAGCCCTCTCTCTTTCGCTTGACCCATGTCCCAGCTCACCCCGTCCCCACGGTCTTTTTCTTGTTCTTCTGCTTTGAGGACACTCCGCCCCTTTTTCCTTGCTCCTTCCTGCCATGCGGCTCTCTCCCATGGCTTGTTTATAAGCAGGGACCAGCTGTTTTTAAAACGCTGCTCTCCTGGCGTGATTGATTTCTCCGCACTGGTGTCGTCCTGTGCTGGTATTTCTTCACACCTACCAGTCCTCTTTTCTCCCCACAGTCGGTAGTTTTAGCTATACATGATCTTGAATATAGAATTATTTTTCAGATGGAAATTGTGGAATCCAACAATAATTGTGAAAATAATGAAACCATTTGCAAAAATGTTCATTGTAAGAGAATACATACTTTTTTTTTGGTATGAGATAAGAAGAATCTACACTTGTGTAGCCCAGTCACGTGATGAATAACCTCGGGGGAAAAAATAATTCCTTTTTTTTGGAGCATGCAGCTTTTATAGATTTGTTCGGAAGTCAAAAAGTGAACAATTTTGATTTTACCTATTAGCACTATTACTGTCAAAATGCACCATTTCATATTTTACTAATATATTCCTGGAACATGCAATATAAGTCCTTCCATACTTGGATGATGAATAACATAGAAATGCCATACTTGGATGATGAATAACATAGAAATGCCAATAAATACATATATAGAGTAGTTTTATATTCTAATAATCTACTCATGAAGTTTTAAATCCTCTCTCCCTTATAAGCTAAAAGTTCATTAATCAAATCACCCAATTAATTCACTGCTCTAGATCATGTCACTGCTAAAGATGAAAGCTAAGCTTGAACTGCAAGCTTTTTTTCACTGTGTTTTTTAAATGAAAATATGCAGCAAGATTCCCCTTGGCATCAAAAACAGAAATATCTGCCAAAGCCACAAGTGGCTTGATACCCACATTCAGCCAGAGGAGAGCCAGATGCTCATCAGATGGGCGTTATATTGGTTCCCCTGCAGTAAACAGAAATTTTTGTACAGTTTTCATGGTTGGTCATGGTAAGTGGTTGCCAGTATTAAATGTCCACAATAAATAAAAATCCTTCTAGCACATACATTTTATATTAGCAAAATATGAAATGGTGCATTTTGACAATAACAGTGCTAAAAGATAAAAAGTAAAATCAAAATTGTTCACTTTTTTTCCTATAAAAGCTGCACGCACACATAGATCTATACTTAATATGCATTTACAGTAATATTAAACAATGGAGCATAAATTCAATAGCACACACTTTGAGTGTAGTGCATAACTACTATCTTTAATACAGAGCAAATATTTAGAACAGATTGTTGTTTAAGACTACATTATAATCTTTTGATAAAGAACACAAGGTAATCTGCCCTGTGGTGTCTTATCTCTCTTCTGGGATGCTGCAGAATAATAAAAATCATGCATCTTCCACGTTTAAGGAATTCTGCAGGTTCAAGGCATGCCTCTCTGTAGGGTAAGATACCAGTAGCTCATTATTTATCTGTTTTAGTGGCATTTCAGAGGCTTTATTTGATGATCTGTTTGCAATTAGACCCATATGCTCATTCCTAATACCCTTTCCCTAAAGTATGAATGGAACCAATCTACTAAAGCCCTTGTGGAACTGCTTAAAGAAAGGAGAGGGATTATTCAGAGCATCCAAGGGAGGGTTCCTTCTGTCACTTTCCACCACTCCCATTTGTTGACATTGAAGCAGATATCCATGACTACCTGTAGGAATTCTGCTGTCATATAATGAAGTCACAGTTACAACCGTAAACATATCCACAGTTACAACCTTAACTGTACATAGTCAAAATCTTTGTGACGCATGAGGGAGATAGTTTATGATGTGAAAAGTATTGCAGAAATGAACATTTATGCATTTTTAGGATAAATATTGCCATAGTAAGGGAAATATTATACAGTGATGAGGGCATATAAGGTAGCATAAACATTTACAAAGACCGTGTGGCAAACTTCCTGAAGTATATTTCCTCAATTTTAATTTCTCACATCGTATTTTGAAAAAAAGCTAAGTGGTAAAACTGAGCAGCTTTGGCAGCCAAACTCCATTATAAGTTTTCAAAACATCTTAGGTTCAGGAAATTCTGGGTTGGGTTGTTTTAAGACACTGTATTAACAGTGCTTTGGAGAATTTCAGAACTTTGATTTAAGCAGAAGGAAAACTAGACTCCAAATGATCATAAGGAGCACCCAGAGAAAAACAGGATAGAGTCCAAAAAAAAGATCTTGTTCTTTGCATTTTGTTAAAGTGAACCAACTTTAAATTAACTTCTTTCCAAGTTAGGTAATTTAATCTTGGTTTAAGTTAAACCATATATTTCTTCTTGTAGTATTTGAGTGTTATTTTCCAGTCTGAAGTTTAGGGTTCCAACATATTTGGTATTTATGCTGAGCGGCAGCAACATGTTCACACCTAAATATCTTTCAGTGCTTGTCAAAGATTTCAGAAGGCTGGCCAGACAAAATTACAACTTGGTAATGCTTTTAAACCACTGTGAGGAGGAGCACCCTTCTCCCCCACAGAAATACAGGAAGGTGAAAAATGTGGAGTGTATGCTGCTGTCACTCATAAATGAGGGCTTAAGCCTCAATTGGTATAAATCAGCATAACTCCAGGCTCTTCATTTCAATTGAACTATGCTGATTTATGAGATAAAGACCTAGGTTTAAAACAAAAAAAATGTTTCTAGCATTGTGGAATGCATATTGCTGTCCAGTGCAGATTGGCTGGAAAAAAATCCCCAGGCCATAATCTGGGTTTGTGTAACCCAAACTCAGTCAGTGCATACTAACCAAGGACCTGACACTCCCAATTTTAATTGTAACAGGGCTGTATGCATATCTCCTTTCTCCTCTGTCCCGAACAACTGTTCCAGAAAGTGAAGAATGCTTCAGTTTCCTCTCTCCACAGAAATCATTAAAAGAAATCTATTTAGAAAAACCCTACCCCTATAACAAAATGAAAAACCTAGGAATGCTGTTTAAGTTGATTTAAAATACTTTATAATAAGGATTAGTGCAATATTAACCTCATACACTGTTAAACATAAGAAGTTGAAGACTGAAATAATTTTTCACAAATAATATTATTAGCATTCAGCAAGAAAAAGAATTTAGTTTTTAGATGGCTTTGTGAGATTTACTTGTTTTTATTTGGCTTGTTTTTCCTTTTCCTCATCTTCCTCTTAATACATTTTAGGCATAACTACATTTCAAATATATCTGAAGTTTGTATCTTCATAAGGTAACTTCTTTGCAAGTCGATTGAATTTTTTCCTGAATTTTCTAATGTTGATACATTTTGCTAATCAAATTGCACAAAACTTCTTCCAAATATATTTTTATTTTATAATTAGGTTGGTTTCATTGTTCACACTATGCCTTTCACTGCATATAAAACTGAGCGATCTGTTTCTATTTAGTTTTGCTTTCCTGTTCTTGTATGTTAGCACAGCAGGTCTGTGTTTGGGTGGTACACTCTGTAAGGGAATATTTATAATTAAGAATATCTTTACAATGACATAATTAAAAAAATCCCAACAACATTTCTTCTGCAAAGGGGTTTGGTTAAAGAATAAAGAAGATTACAAAAGACATTCATTGTACATGGAAATATGGTCTTAAATCTATCTGATGACAAAATATTGGACTATGGAAACCTTTCAGTCACAGCAGTTTCTTTCATTGCAGACATTCTTATAAGATCAGTCACTAGAATAATAAGTCATGCTGTGAACAGTAATTCACAGGGCTGCTCCTTATATTTGTTTAAACACTGTGTCCCTGAAAGCACTGAGGGCTGGGACAATAGCATGGCCACATACTTATGCAAGGGTTTGCTTTGAAAATAAGTAGGGTTTTTTTACTTAGCAGTGAAGCCCTTACAGAATGCCTTCCCTTTAGCAAACATCACTTGCAGGATACTTACCTGAAAGTTGCCAAAGCAGCTTCCTCCAGGTAAGGTGACATAACTCACAAATGGAGGACCGGGAGAGCTCAGGGACTCGTACACCACTGTGCCTTCATTTGGAAATACAGCTTTCTGCTTCTGTTTACTCTCCCAGAATTCCTGCAGTATTACCACAACGTTCACTATAAAAACCCCAAAAAACAAACAAACATAGAAATATATTGGATAGAGTACATGCGTTATATTTTGACTTGTTTCTTGGCAAAAAGAATTATGTCTAAAGATAGACTGGTGAGTTGGAGATTCAATCAAAGCCATCATCTGCATAACATCCCCTATCCTCTCATGATCCCAATGCCTTTCAACTTTGCCTGGGCCTGTACTGGATAGGAAACCCCCAAAGAACATAAGGTACTTCATGAATTAAGGCTGATCATGCACTGCATGGCTTTCTTCCCTCAAGTCAAGGGTCTAATATATTACTATGGGCTTGAATGTCTGCACAAGACCCTCTGCTTATGTTGGGTTAGTTATGATAGTAGAGCCCACGGGGATAGATGCAGTGTATACCAATAAAAGATTTTCTGCGGCTGTAGCAAAGCTGTGTCACACTAGTGGTTTTGTCAGTATAGTTTGTCAGCAGCAAGGTGTGATCTTTTCATACCCCTAACCAATTGTTATTCTGGCTAAACTTTGTGGTATACCTCAGGCTGCTTTCCTCTGTTTCAAAAGAAAGGCAAGCTCTTACTTTTTTTTAAAACCTGTCACCAGGATAATTATTGTTGCTGCACTCGACAGCGCAGGAGAAGTGGGTAGATTTTGATGGTATATGAAGTGATGGGTTTGCATCATGCTTTGTGAACTGGTCAGGATGGAAAATAATGTATATTATGGCAGTAATAGCAGCAAGGTACCAGGACCATGAAAACACTGAAAATCAGAAGTACAAACTAGGATCACTTCTAGTTATTCCTGCACTGAGAAGCTTAGTGGGGGTTAGGATTACAAAGGCTCCTAACAGACTTAGGGTCTCTGTTCAAACTGAAAAATGAATAGGAGTTGTGTGCATAATTCCTTTAAAGGCCCTTTGAGAAAACCAGCCAGAAAAATTAAGTCTGATATTTCCTGGCACTTAGTTATCACTGTAGGTACAAATACCTTTTTAAACACTGTTGGAGATATTTGCTTCTTTCAAATATGACAATCTACTGCTTTAAAGAACAGTCTTACATGAAGTCTGTGAAAGTGCAAGATGCTATCAGTACGAATCCCTTTCCTAGGGTTATTTGTCTGAGAAATAGAAAGCATATGAAAAATAAGAGAACATGTTGAACCTTCAGAATGGTATGGATAAAGAAAGAAATCTTTTTGAATAAACTGACATCGAATAAGAACCTGGGGTTTGGCACAAACTGCATAATTTCTGTACTGCAGAAACTGACTTCTACTTTTCTAACCCCTGGCAGACATTAACTTAATTGCATGATTGGAACTGAGGAGTTTCATTCTAGATCCCAAAAACTGTGTTTCCTAATGAATCTGGCATGGCAGGATGTGTAAGTGTTTGGATCCAGGATAAAATTCCTCAGATCCAATGCCCTTCTGCCAGATTTGGGAGGTCCCCGATTCCCAGCTGGCATATACCGGGGCATGGGTAGCTGCGGATCAGTGAACTTTATGATCCCCAGTTGCACAT